TACCACTTCGAAAGACCCTTTTCAGTTTTGGACTTTGGATTGTTTGCATTGGCAAGTGACAGTGATATTAACCAATTGGGTACATACGTGGGCAAACATAAATTGATTGAAGTTTATGGTGAACATGGTAAAACAATGTTACATACATATACAATGTCACCTACCCATAGTAAAGTTAGGACAGAAGAAATTGTTGATCAACCTTCATGTAGTAAATGACTATTTTTGGGGTGGAACGAAACTAAAATAGGGGACTGTGTTGGATCAAGCAAACCAAAAGTTGTGTCAACAAAAAAACTGAAAGTGACCAAATCAATGCTCGCTATGAAACACATGTTGTATGTGATGAATTTGAAACAACCCCTCCTCCTTCAAATGAATTTGATGATGTTGATGAAATTCTAAATGAAGAACCTGGAAGGAGTACTGATGATAATGGTGATGTCGATGATAATGATGATAGTAACTTCATAGTAGACTTAGATAACCTCATAGATGAACCTGAGATAGACATGAATGAGTTTTTGTTACATATTGATGAAGATATAGAGTGGATGGGTGATATTAGAGGGTCAAATGTCAATGAAACAGAAACAAAGGAAATCGATAATATTAAGGTTGTAAAAAATGATGTATTTTTATATGAATCATCATCTGTTGAAGGTGGAAGCAACAAGAGAAGAAAGTCAATTAAGAAGATACGAAGGGCAAGAGAGAACAATGAAGCAAGAGCTAATGATCCATTCTATATGTACCAAAAATGTACCTTATATGAAGACTCGAAAGAAGTAATAAGAAGACATGTTGTATAGATAAGGATGAAACTATACTTAAAAAAAAGACAAAAACAGAGTGAGATCTATTTGCAAATGCACCTTAAAAAAGCATGTGACCAACCAATTATCACACGCCTTGAATTCATTAGAGAGTACCTTATGGTAAGGATTGTGAGTGTCCAAAAGGTAATTGATAAGGCAGTTGGACCATTAACTCCAACTGCTGCAAGTATGTTTGAAAAAAACAAATATGATGCAGCTCAATGTATAGGTAACTTATGTGGGAATTGAAAATATCTGGTGAGTGGACCATGGATGGACCGATGTGTGGTAGACATGGTTTCACAAAAGTTGTAACTTCCCAAAAATAAGACCCGAAAATTTCCATTTTTAAATTAATAAAACGGTAATTCATATCATTTTCATAAAACCAAGGCAATCAAAGTTTTATCAATACATCATCGTTATTATAGTAAGTCATAGAATGTGGAATCGAGTAGTGTGTGCTCTACAATCATCCCGAGTTCTTCCCTTTGAAAACTTAAATACCTGAAACATAAACTAAAAAACGTAAGCACAAAGCTTAGTGAGTTCCCCAAAATACCACATACCATACATACATAAATAACCACATATTGGGCGCCGCCCGTCATCGAGCGCCACCCCGCATCGGGCCCCGCCTGACATACATCTAAACATAATATATAAACACATACACGGTTGGGTTTTATTTAAAAAGCTAGTTTCAAAAACGACAAATAATGGAAAACGGGAGACTTGAGTTTTATAAAATAACATAAACATTTTATCACCCACCAAGGATCATCTTGCAAGTAAATGAAAGATTTAAAACACGACCATAGAAGAAATAAGTGGTAACAACCTTTGAAACACTTTGAGTTCTCTAGGGGAGTCTTGGAAGTTGATGGAGTAAGGATGAACCCACGAGACACCAACAATGTGCCAACTTGATGTAATTGTAACATTCCAAAATTCAAGGCCAAAAATTTCATTTTTAAATAAGTTATTACATAAAACCATCAGTATAAAAACATTCATAATAATATCTCGTGTCAAACCAAAGTGTCAATAATCAAAAAATATTATCATAAAATAATATCAGAGTGTAATCCCAAAGATCTCATGTGCGGAAAACATAATGTGATGCGCTATGATCAAGCCGACTCATTTCCTTTGAAAACGAGTACCTGAAACCAAAAATGTAAATCTTAAGCACAAAGCTTAGTGAGTTCCCCCATCATACCACATACCATACAAACACATATAACATACATATTGCCAGGCATATCTGGGTGCTCGACCTACCCCTTCGGCCCTCTCGACCGGTGACCTTGCCTAACATATCTGGGTGTTGGCCTACCTCTTCGGTCCTCTCGACCGGTGACTGCCTAACATATCTGGGTGCTGACCTACCCCTTAGGTATCTTTCAACCGGTAACTGGGAGCTGGCATCCCCTTCGGTATCTTTCAACCGGTAACCAGGGAGTATTTCACCCCTATCACTACCACATAAAACCCTAGCATATAAACATAAATCACATACTGCCTAGCATATTTAGGTGTTGGCCTACCCCTTCGGTCTTGTCAACCGGTAACCAGGGACTATTTCACCCCCTACTACCACTATTACATAACATCATAACATGCTAGCACATAAAACAAAACAGCTGGCAGCAAACCTAGATGAATATCACAAAGACAATCATCTAACATACAACTCCTACTAGTGGGCCGACGTTGTGGCCATAGACCCACCACTACTAGAAGGTAACTCACCTCACACTGCTGAAGTCCCGTAGACTCAACCCCACACTAGTGAAGTCCCGCAGACCCAACCTCAACTGTTGGTTGATAGATTCCCGAACTGTCAATATCAAAACATCACCCAATTAATAATTGGGTTCCAACACATAAGCATAAATACATACTTGGGGTAAATACTACTTTACCCCTAACTCAACTTTATTCAAGCCCAAGGCCCAATCCAAAGGCCTAACAATCAACTATGAGTTAAAGCCCAACATATGACCCAATTTTCCAAATTAGACCCAAACCTTTACAAGGTCTTACCATAAGGCCCAACCATTTATTCAAGTCCAACCTTTGATAGTTTAATGGTCCAATATTATATAATCATTAAGGCCCAACCATGGCTTAATTTTCCAAATTGAGCCCAACTCCTCATATGGGCCTTACCTCAAAGCCCATTAATTAGTCTAGTCCATTTGCTTGATCTTGGATGGCCCATTAATAACCCAATCATCAAGGCCCAATATGAAATTAGGGTTTTCACATAAAATGACAATTAGTGTTAAGTGTTTCTCACTTAACCCATTAAGGACTTAATCCATTAAATCCATCATTCTTCTAAATAATTCATTTGATGTGATTGGGCTTAATCACACAATTCCATTCCAATGGCCCAAAAGTGGGTCCCAATAAGTCCAAGCCCATAAATCCAATATTAGGGTTTTCTAAACCATAATTAGAGTTTCCAACCCCATCTTAGCCTAATCGGCCCAATTGATATGTCTTTTGATTAATTAAGGTTCATTAGACTCATTAAGGTTTCACTAGGCCCATTAGTCATCTATTTGGGCTTTAAGCTTTATTGGGCCCATTAGGGTTTATTAAGCCTATTAAACCTCATTAGGGCCATTATGGTTTCTTAGTCCCATTGTCAAACCATCCAAACGAGTCAAAACACCATCAAAGCACACCGCCACCCAACACGGCGGCCGGTGGCAGCAGCCACCACCTCACGGTGGTGGTTTTCAGTTTTCCTTTCATTATTCAATTTGTAATTTACACTTTACAATGTTGAAACTCAAAATAAACACACACACTAAACAACATAAACACACACACACAACCACCTTGTGGTGCCGACGGCGGCAGATGGGTGGCAGCCACCACCTTACGGTGGTGGCGGTGGCCTTTTCTTGTTTTTCCAGCCATCACACACCACATACAACACTGTATCGGAAAATAAAAATGCTCATAACACCAAAATATGAATCTCCATTGCTAAAAACGCACCAATCTCGGCCAGCCCCATGGCGGCGTGAGGCAGTCGGACGGAAGACGGGGGAGACCCACGAAGGCGGCAGCAACGATACAAGCATCCACGACGGGGCGCCAATAACCGAGGAGGCTGCCAGCCGCAACAGATTAATGTCCAACGACGATTGGTCTTCAACGAGAACAACAGCGGCACAACGTCGGAAGCGTTGTGGTAAGGCTACGCAGTCGGAGGAACACCGACGACCATCGTGAGGTGTGTTGCGGCTGGCGACAGAAGGTAGAAGAAGAAGAAGAATAAAGGTGGAGTGGGGTGGCAGAGATCGCCAGTTCCAACTTCATCAACGATTGCACAAGGCAGCAACAACGACTATAGTGGCAACTTGGTGGTTCACGCTACCGGTTCTTTTTCCCAGCATTGGTGATCGGAGGTAGCAACGGCGCCAGAGATTTATCTTCTAAAATGGAATTTACCCATTAAAACAATAAAAAAGGGACAAAAAGCATAAAACCATAACATGAAGAGATTTAAACAAAGAGTAGCCAATGTATGAACTTTTTACCTCAAAAATCACCAAAAGGTGGAGCTAAATCTGGATCTCTAAGCTTCCCCCCCCCCCCCCCCCCAAGAATGAGTCTTCAAACTTCTTCTTCTATCACTTTAAGGAGAATAAAGCACCAAAAATCAAGACCAAGGCTCAAGAACACTCAAAGATGCTATTAGGGTTCGAGATTAGGGTTTTAGGTCAATGGAAGCTGATAAAGAGGCCAACCCTAGGGACTTAAGGAACTTCTATAGGGTGTAACACCCTAACATTAGGGTTTCCTCAAACCCCTCGTATGCCCAGCATACGAGGCCTCAGATCCACGATCACCCCTCTAAGCGTACCATGTGGTACCCCCTACGTACTAGCTTCTCAGCTAGTACGCTAAGCCTACCCCAATGGTACGCCTCGCATACTAACCCGAGGACCAAAGTTGCAATAATACACCCCACACAGTCTAAACCGAAATGCACAATGAACCAAACATTACACATGTTCTTGTAGAAAATGAGAACTTACTAGTACACCTTGTAAACATGCCCTTGCTGCTATCCAGGACATGAGAAAAAATAAGCAGAATGTTGGCTTACCTAAATAATGGGTTCATTCCACTTACTGGTTAAAAAATTGGAAGGAAATGCATTCTTTCAATATTGAACTACTTGATGGAAGAAGAATGTGTGAAAAGTTTCCATGTCCAACCACAATCCTTCCTCCTAATCGTCACGACCTTATTGGAAGACAAATAAAGAAAAGAATGAAGTCAGTTGTTAAATTAAAAGATATGGTGAAGGTGGTAGGGCAATCAAGGAAGGCTAAGAGTGTGACATGCTCAAAATGCAAAAAACTTAGTCATAATAAAAGAAGTTGCAAATGTTAAAATGTAGGTGATGGTGGTTCAAGCAAGAAAGGGGAAGGCTGGGAAGAAAGCTCAAAGTGTAGTTGATGGTAGGCAAAATGGAAGTCAGAGTGTAGTTGATGGTAGGAAATCTAGTGGTATAGGTGATGGAAGTTCAAGTAGGCAAGGGAAGGTTGGGAAGAAAGGGAAGAATATTACTTAAGTTGTGTTTGTGTTGTCTTTGTTATGAACCAATTATGGTGTTATAATCTTCTGTAGGTGTTGTATTCGTCATTATGTTTCGAACAATTATGCTATGACGTTTTGGATGTGTTGTCTATACTATGAACAATTATGTTGCTTTGATGTATCTATATTTTTTGATTATGGTATGACCAATTATCTTTTGAATTCCACATGTAATTAGACATTTGTGTTATTAGTCTGTTGCTATGTATCTTTATTTTCAATTGGTATTTAATTCCTTCCATTCAATTCAATTCAATTCTATTTAATCATTCAATTTAATTCCATTCAATCGACAACCATTCCAACAATCAATTCCATTCCAATTCAATAACATTACAAACCACTCAATTTCATTCCATTATAATACAATCAATTCCATTCCAATTCAATACCATTACAAGCCACTCAATTCCGTTCCATTATAAAATAGTCAATTCCATTCCAATTCAATACCGTTACAAACCACTCAATTCCATTCCATTATAAAACAGTCAATTCCATTCCAAAAGACAATTACATTCCAATAGCCAATTCATTCAAATAGTCAATTCCATTCATACATTGTCATTCTATTACATTACTACATTGATGAAACAAAGGATGAGTACACTGACAACATAATTTAAAGCTTGTAAATTAGAATTGACACAAAAAAACCCAACTGAACACTAATAACAACCTCAAGGTCCTATTATGATGTTGAAGCTCGTCCATTGAGTTCTTCAAACGAGGGGATATACTTTTTTTTTAAGTTTTTTCACCATTAAAGTTGTCCTTATCAACCCAATCTATAAAACCACATTTTGCTCCATGCATTTGAGTAATATGTTGTGTGTTAGAGGTATGTGATATATGGATATACTTTAGAAGAAATTACCCTTCCTAGTACAACAATAGAAAAGTATTCCAGAGTTTTTCTTGGTAGTTGATGTTCGTATTACACCAGCTTGATCACACTTGCATGTTTTTGCCATTAGGGTTGATCGACACTTCAGAGAAAAGGAAACAAAAGAGATGAAGATTGGGCGTATAAGAAAATAAAGAGAATCAAGGTTCAAGGGTCGTTCTAATAGGTTTTTGAGATAAAAGGATGAAAATACCCCTCATGTGCGAAGCACATGGGGTTTCTTAACGTTTGGAATTGACGGAAAATGGACGCAAGACCAAACGGGTAATAAAAAGAAAATGTGAGGATGGTCCGAATGCAAACCAAAAGATAGGGACCAAATGTGCAACTTTATCTAAACCACGTAGATGAATTCAGTAATTTGTTTGTAAGTTTTCAATGATATTAATTAACAATGTAAGTTCCATAACAGAAAAATATATCATGTTTGATATAAAATACATTGCAATGCAATTTGTATCGATTTATATATAAATATTGAATTGGTCGTAACAATGTAATCAGATTTGTTTTTGAATTGAACAAAAGTAAAATATCAATATGTTAATGTTAAACAACTAATAAAAAAAAACCAAACTGAGAAAAAAAAGTAGCAAAACGTGTTATCAATTATTCAATTTAGATTAAGTGCATATCGAGTTTTTTTCGTGTGATTTGCTTGTTTGCATGTAAATCATTCATGCATTTAAAGAATTAATTATGAGATAAAACCAAATCACATATTACACATCAGAAATTGGGGTGACGGTGAGTAACGGTTTAAGTAGTACTACAGACCAATCTAAAAGCTCCAATACATATACATCTCCACGTCATTTCCACGTCATCAACTTATCTTATGAATCAATGGCACAGTTACGGGGAAAACTGAAGGAGCGCCGTGACTCTATTTCTTGAGGAACCCCACAGGATATCGCAAAGCCCCACCAACCCTCTTTCCCAACCGCCAAGGCAAAAATCGTATTCGGAGCTCTGCAAATATCTCATAAAAAAGCTCTGAAAATTATTCCGACGAGATTCATCTCCATTTACAAGAAAAGATTCATCGTGAAAATTTTCAAAACTCGTTCGATTACATTGTTGAACCGTTGTATGCATCGAGAGTTGTGACGTCTTTTCCGTAAGTGAAATCGTTAATCTATACTTCTATAGGGTTATATTCCTCAAAGCAGTTCGTATACATTCCGGTTTTTTATCCTCATCGTAGTCAATTTTTTTTAGTTGGCATATCTTTGTTCTGATTATTGTTTCCGTTGTTGCTTGTGGTGATTGTAATCGACCGTATATGTTTGTAAGTAATCATCCGTTTTCGTTTTCGATATTTTTGGCATTTAAGCTTAAGCGTTACTTGAATCAATGAGGTCAACTTTCCCTAAGTTTGTTGGGTTTTGCGGAACTTGGGTTTATTAGGAAATATGTCGGTTTTGGATTATATTTTTTTGCATGGTTTGTGTAAAATGTTGAGTTACCTATTGGGAATTTTTTCGTCTAGGGTTTTGGATCATGTTTCTATCTTCCCGTCCGAGAATACTGCTCAACCTCAATAAGAACAATAAATCTTTCGAAGATAAATTTTAAGTGAAGAAAACTTGTATTTTCAGCATTTACCAAAGCGTGCAGATTCCTGTACTTTGTTATCCTTGTTTTAACTGTATGAAATCTTTGCAGGTTCTTCGTCCTACTGTTTCAGTTTCATCATCTTATTTCAAGCAGCATATCCCCGCATACCAGGACCACAATATTGGTTTACAAAGATTAGTCAAAGGCTCTAAAACACAAGTCAAACCTGCTAAATTCCAATGTTAACGTGTTCTTGATTAATGTAACACACAAGATTCAAGTTCAACATAGTTGTATTCAATATAATGGCTGATCTTATATATGAGTCAATGCTTCATTGACATAATTTGTGAATTTATTTTTTCACATTAAGTAATAGAGTGCTCAACATTTGTTGTCATAATAGAAGAGACTTCATCAAATGATTCTGATAGGATGGCAAGTAGTGCTTCTTTTTCTATCTCCCATTCTCACTATGGCAGAGTCCTCGAATACACCATGGTCAATGTGGTCAAGCAACTTTGGTGCTGAGCAAACATTGCTTTACAGATGGACAATCTTCAGTGCAAGCTTTTGTGTACTTGTTGCTCTTTTTCTTTCCACATATCTTATCTTTGAGCATTTAGCTGCTTACAATCAGCCTGAGGTTTGATATTGCATACATCCTTTCAACTTTTTTTTTTTACATAAGTTATTTCTGCTTTGTACAGTCAACATAATGTTCTCTACCAGCCTTTGACATACTGTAATTGCATTTTACATGCAAGTCATGTTAAGTTGATGTTGTTATTTGTTATGATCTCTAACTGATGGCAGAATGAATTAATTTTGATTTCAGGAGCAGAAGTTCTTAATTGGAGTTGTTCTGATGGTTCCTGTTTATGCATTGGAATCGGTATGAGAATCTCTTGTTATGTTTTCTGTTTCTGATGCTTCTGTTTATTCATTGGAAGGTTAACCTAAGAAACTACTTTTTATTTTATTTTATAGAAAACTACTTATGAGCAAGGTGATGATTTATGTTTGATTAGGGAAGTCTTGATAACATAATCCTTTAAGGAGTTAGTACATAATTTATTGCCTATCTGTATTTAGTTTAGAAAGATATACACATCCTTATATTACTCATTGATACAAAATACTTCCTCTGTTCCAAAAAGGCAACATTGTCACATAGTTTAATAAAAGTTTTGACTGTTTATCCGATGTCTAAAAGGACTTTTAATAAAGACAAAACAAAGAAAACTTGTCAACCACAATGAAAGTTACTAATTTAGCTAATGATGATTACTAAGGGAACATAAAATCCTATAAGACTTGAATGGTTCTTAATCAGTATTTTTGTATTTTTGGAGAAATACACTTCATCTGCATATATAATTGTAGCCTGATTTGTAGCAGTAAATTTACTAAAAGTAGAGATTTCAAGCGATTGCTTTTATTTTGTTCTATTTCTTTGTTTTTGGGTTGGTGAGAGGCTGAGAAATTTTGCAAGGCAAATGCTGTGATGATCATAAGTGGATAAGTGATCTGCTTTCAGTGTATTAAAAGCCATTTCATCTAATTATTTAAATGAAATCTGTGGAATGAAGCTGTAATTGACAATCATAACTTTGGAATAAGAAGTTTTTGAATGATTGAAGGATTAAAGCAACTCATTCAAGAGATACTTTTTATGACACTTTAATGTCCCACTTAGGTCACTACTCTTTTTCTTTTCTACATACCTTGTCATTGTCTCACTTAGGTCAAATAAAACTTTGACTTTCTTGAGTTATCTCATCAACATTTTGGTTTAAACACAACAACACTAAACCATTTGCAATATTTATTAAAAGTCAACATTTTGGTTTAAACACAGCAATAGTAAACCATTAGCAACAGTAACCTAACTGTGACAAATCAAAAAGTATGTTTCTACTCTTTTGAGTTTGTTTGCAACTGATTTTCTATTGAAGCCAGTAATGCAATGATCATATCTAACTTTGAGTTTTCCAAATTATACAGTATTTGTCGCTATTGGATGCAGATGCTGCATTCAACTATGAAATAATCAGGGACTGGTATGAAGCTTTTGCTTTATATTGCTTTGGGAGATATCTTATTGCCTGCTTAGGTATGATCCTCATGATGGCTGTTTGTGTTTTGAATATGACACATGGCAAACAGGTTGTCTGGAATTCTATTTCTTTCCTGTCTTTAAAAATTAAATGCTCCTTTTTTCTAGTTCTATGAATTTGCATCATGCCATTTAGAAAACATACATATATGAATCTGAAAAACTATATATCAACCATTTATCATTGTAATTTATCAAACAGAAACTTGTACATTATAGTTATATATGTATACCAAAAGAATATGGTTCAAAAGTAGTAGTTGAGAATTAACATTGTATAAGTCACTGCCTTCAGAAAAGGAGTTTATAAATGATATTAGAATTGTACATGTGAAGCCCATCCATCATTGAGCTATTTTTGACTAATAATGTGGTGATTGAAGGTGGAGAGGATAGTACTATTGAGTTCATGGAAAGTAAAAGCCGTATCAGCTACAGCATACCCCTTATAGAAGAATCATATACTTATGGAGTCGTGGAACACCCTTTCCCTCTCAATTGCTTCCTCAAGGAGTGGTATCTTGGTCCTGACTTCTATCAGGCAGTCAAAATTGGCATTGTGCAATATGTATGTCAGTATAAGGGTTAAATGCAAGAAATAACAATATACTTCTACTTCCATATAGCATCCTGCTTCATTTCTTCTTATTACAACATATTGTACTTGGAAAAAACTTACCAAATTATAGCAATGGCATCCAAATACAAAGCTATGTTCTTTCACTGCTATAATTGTGATTCTTTCCAAAGTACAATGCCTTAAAAATAAAAATGAAAACATAAAAGAAATGAAGGCAAGATGCAATATTAAACAAGCAAATAAAAGTACATTGTAATTTCTTTTGTTTACCTGATTTTTTAATAGCGTTGATCCATATTTGAATCTGAACTAAGCTTCAGCTGCATGATTCCAGATGATATTGAAGCTGATCTTTGCGCCGTTAGCAATGATTTTTCAGTTTCTTGGTGTTTATGGGGAAGGGAAGTTTGAATTGAGATACGCGTAAGATACTTTTTTTTTTTTTGTACTAAATTTACATTTTTCATCCCTGTGCTTTGGTTGATTTTTTATGATTTGGTCCATAAAAAGGAATCCTTTTATTTTTTGGTCCCTATCTCACCGTTTCGTAAGTCTGACTCCATTAATAAGAATATAAGATGGAAGTTAGATGCACGTTTTTAGAATGACGATTTTGCCCCTCATTCAAGTATTTTTTTCATGTAAATGACATGAGTGTTGTATGCAAATGCAATGCAGGTACCCATACATGGCAGTTGTTCTTAACTTCAGCCAGAGCTGGGCTTTGTATTGCCTTGTGCAGTTCTATTCAGTGACCAAGGATAAGCTGGCACCAATCAAACCTTTGGCCAAGTTCTTGACCTTCAAGTCCATTGTATTCTTGACATGGTGGCAAGGTGTTGGTGTAGCCATTCTTTTTTCCATGGGAGCCTTCACAGGACCCTTAGCTGATCAGCTACAAACACGTATCCAGGATTATATAATCTGTCTTGAGGTTTGTTAATTACTGTTCATAGTCTCCTTATGCTTGGTATTTCTTGTAGTCAACCACATTGAGTCAAAGGATAGGGACTGTTCTGTAATTTTAAAAATGTTGAAGGACCTGTTTGTAAATAAGCTAAAACTTTGAGGTTTTTTCTCAACTCCAGATGGGTGTTGCTGCAGTGGTGCACTTGTATGTTTTCCCAGCCGGACCGTACAAGCGCGGAGAGCGATGCGTACGCGATGTTTCCGTGATGACGGACTACGCGTCGTTAGGAGCACCACCTGATCCAGAAGAGGTGCGCGACTCCGAGAGAACCCCCAGATTACGCCTCGGCCTACCCGATGACAGACCGAAGCGTCCCAAATTACATCAGAGTGTTCGCGATGTCGTCTTCGGAAGTGGCGAGATTGTGAGTTGTTGGACTTTCGCACCTCAAATTATTCTCTTTTGGTTCTAACAGAACAATTTGGTTTTGGTGTGTTACACGCAGATCGTTGATGACATGAAGTATACGGTTTCCCACGTGGTAGAACCGGTTGAAAGGGGATTAGCGAAAATAAATAGAACTTTTCATGAGATATCGGAAAATGTAAAACGACATGAGGAGAGAAGGCGCCCACTCCCACGCCCTAAAGATGACAGTCATCTAATTCCTCTGAGTTCATGGTCCAATGAATTCTTGGAAATTCATCGAGATGTAGAAAAAGGGAGTTCCAGCGACAGCAAGCTCTCTAATGCCAGGCGATCAAAGAACCCCTTTTCTCAATCTCCATACAGATAATACGCTCACTCTCTCTCAGGTACTGTTTTTTTTCGGCTTAATGGGTACATCATTTTATCCGGTTAGCAGTTAATGATCCTTCGTTTTCCAGGTGGATCTGTATAAATACGGGCAAGCAAATAGAAAATACAGAAATATATGAATATCGTTGCAGCTGATAATAGAGGTACACTCCTACTAACTACTGATCTTGATTTGTGCACACGGGATGCAAATTATTTGATTATAGAATTACAAGACTGTATATTGTATACGTCTAATATCCACTCAACTTAGAATATCAAATATGTTTGGGAAGTTGTGAATATGTTTTGGGTTGGATTTGGATTTATCAGTCATACCAGTAACAAAAACAAAAACATGAATTTCTTTTGGCTTTTGGTACTGTTGATTGTTGAGTAAAAAAACAATATCGCACATTTCATTTGGTAAGTAAGAGTCAAACATTTTTATTTCAGTTGTCTGTAATTATTATATAATTTTGTTGAGATTGATTTGTTTTGCAAGTATTTTGAGTGTTTGATTACCGTTAAAAGCATTTGTTAAACTTGAGTTTCTTTTGATTTATGAATTGTTTTTGGTCACTTATGTCGTGACTGCAACTCATCACCAAATAAAACAGAATTATCAAATGCTACCTTGGTTTTGTGACCCGGTAACCGGTTAAATTTGAGCAAAATGGTTTAATTGCCGGGTTATAAATGATTTTAATGGTCTCTTGTGGAAAAAAAGTAAGTTTAATGGCAAAATCAGACAAATACTAAAAGTTTATTATTTTCATTAAGTTTTGAGTAAATTACACGAATGGTCCCTATGGTTTAGGGTAATTTGCACGTTTGGTCCCTAACTTATTTTTTTAACTCGGAAGGTCCCTACTGTTTGTTTTTGTTACGCGCTTGGTCCCTGTCTTACTTAAAAAATATATTTTTCCCTTTATTTTTTAATTTATTTAAATAAACACACCCCTAATCTCACCCTTCTCACCTTACCTTACGTACTGTATTATTTTTTTCTATTTAAATAATAGTCTTTTTAGGTATGACAGGGACCAAGCGCGTAACAAAAACAAACAATAGGGACCAGACACGTAATAAAAACAATCAGTAGGGACCTTCCGAGTTAAAAAAATAAGTTAGAGACCAAATGCGCAAATTACTCAAACCATAGGGACCATTCATGTAATTTACTCTTAAGTTTTAATAAGGGTAACTTTTAGGACTTACAGGTTTACAACAATAGATGTTTATTTTAAAAGTGATATTAAATGAGCCATGTTATCATTAAATTTGTCAAACGTTAGCACTCTTTAAATCGATTATTATTATTATTTTTTTATTTTTATTTTTTTTACATCGGTAAGTTTATTATAAAAGTAGTCGTTGAACGGCTATGAAATTGGTCAAAATAGCCGTTGAAATTGCTTCGATTTAATTGGGCGTTTGAATCCGTTGTAGCCAACACGAATGACCATGAAAACGGCAAACCACGAAACAACAGGGTGGTGTGCACGCCCATTGTTCGTGACCAGCTCAACCACAAGCTTGGTCGTTGGTTGTTGTATGTATACCACTCGGCTTTACTAAAACTAGTTGCATGTTCCAAGTATTATCCATTTGAGTTTTGAAAATGTCAAAATCGCAAAAATGGTCATTATGGTATGTTGAGAAATTGTCACTTTGATCTAAAAGGTTCTGGACTTGTACCACCGGTCTAAAACTTTACTTTTGTTGCGTGTTAGGTTCAAATAAAATGTGCTTGAAACGATGTTTTTGTCATTTCTATTTGTTTTTCCATTTTCTTTTTATTACTTTTATTAAAATAAAACAAAAAACAAAAAAATGCTACCCCTAATAAACCACCCAAGCCCCACCCCAACTATTTCCCTCATCAAAGATTCTATCTTTCTCCCTCTTTTAACTATTTGCTGGAAACCACCGACACTGTTGGAATCAACATCCCATTGGGAAACCCTTGCTGGTGAAGTTGAGTTAGAGCACCATTGTTGTAACTCAACGATGACGATGTTGATCACATAGCGATGTACTTGACGATCTTGACGATGTAAATGTGAGAAAGATGGTGATGATCCTAGCACCACCACCCCCAACCTTAACACCACCACTGTATGTCAACATTAGTCTTAGGGTTTTTAAGATCTATGACATGTTGAGGAGTTCATAGCATTAGAAGGGAGAGAAGGAGAGGTGGCCATTGTAGCCAAAAGTGATGGTGTTGACAATTCAACTCTAGTTTTTTTTTTTTTTTTTTTTCCAGTGAAGTTGGCGCCAAATAAATCTAGGGTTCCGGTGTCGGCGATGAATTTGTTGGTTGGCGGTTGCCGATGGTAGTTCTCTGACACAATGAAGAGAGAGAGAGATATGTTGTTAAGTGTATTACAAAAAACACATGAGTTTAGTAGGGTTATATATATATATATATATATATATATATATATATATATATATATATATATATATATATATATATATATATATATTTTAAACAAAAAATACAAAATTAATAAAAAATAGAAAAAAAATACAAAGGGTAAATACATCATTTTAAATATTTTCGAAACAAATTAAACCGAAATAAAATTAAAATTTTGGACTGGTATTGCTAGCCAAATTTCTTGGTACAAAACTAACAATTTTCGATATAGTACGTGAACAATTTCTTGCATTTTTGTCTTTGAAAACTCATCATCATGTTTATTATTATTATTATTATTTTTTACAATGGTGTGCTTGTAATCATCATCATCTTTTCATTTTAATTTCCGTTTGCACATCCGTCAAATTGAATCCAAAATATTGGGTTTTAAACCCGAGAAGAAGATAAAACAACAATAATATGATTTTTGAAGAAATAAAATACATAAATAAAGGTTATCTCGAGCAGAGATGAGTAGTTTGTCCCAAATCTCGATTCAGTACCAGTACCGTACTGGAACCGGTATCGATTACCGACGAACCGTACCAAATGTAAAAATATGGGACGATACTCGGTACTCTAAATATATGAAATTTGGGATCCGGTACCGCCGATACCGGTACTAGTACCGAAAACCAGTACCATTTCCGGTACCGGTACTGGTGATGTTAATTCGGTTCAGTACTCGGGATTGACTTTCGATCAAATTCGGTTTTCGAGAAATCGGGAACAGTAGAGGTTGGTACTAGTTTTGTCCCACACTCATGTGATAAAACAAAAAAAATGGTTTCTTTGATATATGGACTCCAAATTTGATATTTCAATGAATAACTCTACTAATTTTTATGTTTTTCTTGCATGATATGACATAATCAAAGATACTAAAATAAGTTTTATTTGGTTTTAATAAATTTGTTTAATATATTTTATGATAGACTTCAAATTTGATATTTCAGTGAATTGGTCATTGGAAAATGCATTTGAGGCCCCATTTTGGTATATGTTATTGTCATCTCCAATTTAATTGGAATAATACGAACTAATAACGCCAATTTTTTGGAAAAATCTACTTCTTTCAAATGGTTGTATGAGTCTATTCAAAATTATACTTCATTCAAAAGAATAGTAAACAATCTATGAGGTTCGTATTGGGATGGCATGTGAGTTCCAAAATAACTAACCAGAAACGGGGCAACGTGGGTTCTCTAGGACAACTTGGATTTTGTGCAGTTAAAAAAAAATCCAATTTTCCTTTATTCTGATCATGTTTTCTACACTCTAAACCACCTAATCTAAGCATATTCTTTGCATTCTAATAGATTTTAAAAATACCAAAATAATTAGATGATTTAACAAATTTAACTTATATCTGAATAAAACAACGTTGCATTTTTTATGAAATCACCCAAAGGTAAAAGTAATATTTGTTTTTTAATTAAAAAATATTTCTTGAAAGTGCACCAAAATTGAAAGTCAAAATCTACACTAGAATACAAAGGCCATAAAGAATAGTCCCTAGCATATCAAATACGTAACTTCGCATCCATTAGAATTTTATCCAACTTCATCAAATGGAGACTTTTCGTAAATTTATCCCCAAGTATATGGGATCTCTTCCAGTTGCTATATAAAGTTATTAAGATCATACGCTGTAAGATTAAACACTAATTAAACCCAACAATGGATCAATACAAAGGTTCAGATGTAGACAAGTACAGATCTTTCATGAGTGGAGAAGGTGAGAAGAACACCAAATGGAAGTTGGGTGTACCCCCTAACTATGATGCAATCAACGAACTCTTTGAAGAAGGCAGAACCAAGGTTTTAATTAAATACTTATATCTTTACATTAATTTGTACCCTTTAATTTTTTTTTCTAATTAGACTTGGACCATAATATTGATCCCGGTATGGCTTAATACGCAAACTTGCTTCTAAAGTAATCTTCACATATATTAATGTAAATATTACAAAAATGTAAAGAAAAGTTTATTGTGTGAAAGAGTTTGTTAACTTTCTACAAAGGTGTGCATAGTCAATAGTGTATCTTATTTAAACTGATTAATGTTTAATTATAATTTGGATGGTTAAGATATGGCCAACAGGTTCACTAGGAGAGCAAGTTCAGAATCTTGTGAAAACATGGGAAATGGAGATGTTCAACAAAGTGAATCCCCAAGATTACAAGTCTGTTGATGTCACAAAACTCACAATTTCTGTTAACGGTATAAAATTCATTCCTGAAAAGTTTTGCTGTCGAATAATTAAGCAGTTGTCTATATATAACTGTTGATATATTATATATATATATATATATATATATATATATATATATATATATATATATATATATATATCTTATGTACGTACTTATTGCTTATATATAGGCAGGAAACCCTTGAAATTGGAAGATGTAGCTAAGATAGGTGGAGGATACAATATGTTTTTACAAACTTCGTTGCCAGAAGATCTACGACTGTATAATCCTAGTGATGAAACTGTGGATACGGCTCAGAAAATCTTCACAACTACATTTACTCGTGGTTTTGTATTGGAGGTTCTTGAGGTTTACTCGGGTCCTCCAGTGATTGCATATAAGTTCAGGCATTGGGGTTACATGGAAGGTCCATTCAAAGGTCTACAGCCTACAGGAGAAATTGTTGAAATTATTGGTGTCTCCACATTCGAGGTCAACAATACTTATAATCTAATCTATCTTCTTGTCTCTTACAAAGGGGTTTTTGATTTGAATGTTTGTTGTTCTGATATTTGAGTTTTCTTTTACAGTTGGATGAACAATTCAAGATCGTGAAGATTCAGTTTTTCTACGATAGAGGAGAGTTTCTTGCGGGTTTTATCAAGGGTGGGAGTACTGTCACCACCACCCAAGATTCCACCATTGGTGTAGGCTCTTCAAGATGCCCTTTTTCTTAATAAATGCATCATCATGCATGGTTTCATCTGCTACCACCATTAATGAACATGCATGCTTTTATAATAGCTAGATGTTGAACTTGGAATAAACAAATTAATGTTGTGATTTCTAGCTTTTGGTTATCATTTATTTTTAGTATGT